TAAATAAATATAAAAATTCAGATCAGTGGGTAACAAGTTAACATAATCTGTATAGATTAACAGAGAGCCATAGATAAATTAAGTGTATAATTATTAGTAATTAACAAAAATAGACACTAGATAACAGAGTATACACAAGGCAATCTTCTAGTGCTTAATATACAGAGGTTTTTAAAATTGAATGTTAACTAATTATGTTTTCTCAAAATTCTCTTAAGCCCTTAGTATAGTTTATTCATTACCAGAAGAGCATAAATAAACATAAACAGTAATTTATAGCTATTTGACAATCTGTATATAGGTATGCATATGTACATGTGTATTACATACAATATTGTATAATAACATCTATTATATAAATAGTAATTTACATGAAGACTTAGAGAAAAGGATGTTATTTTACAAAATATTTACTAGTTCAGTTTTATTTTAAAACAATTTAAGACATAAATACTTCAGCATATCACCATAATAGACCTAAAGATGCTGCATACAGAAAAAGTCAAAATATAATGTATCGTTTAAATTAATTCAAAATTTAAATTTTTTAAAAAAGATTTAAAAGTAAACAACCGCTCTCTTGATTCTATCAGGTGTCCACACTGCATGGTCTCTTCAGCCATTACATAAAAGAAGCCTTAAATATTAAAACTCGTTTAATGCCCATATTTTCACCATTTGCACTGCATGTTTTGAGAAGAAATCGATAAGGCAAATCATATGGAAAATGGAATGTATAGGCAACAAAATAAATGTTAATGACTTACTTCAGACAATTAAAAAGAAAAAACCTACATAAAACAGATGTAAAGAAATTATTAGATTTAAGATACCTTATTCAGGACTATATTAGACAGAAACTGAAATTTTAAACAAATTATACAGAAAGGGAGTTTTTCCTTCTGCATCAGAAAAAACATGAACTGTAGGGTAGTGCGAACCCTAACTATGTGAACTAAGATAACATGTCTGTTGTTCAGAAGATTATATATGATATAAAAAATAACCGATCAGAATAATTCTTTCTATATTGAATAAAGGAATATATAATAAAATGGAGAAAAATGTGACATATGATATAAAAAAACAAATAGAATACCTTTTTAAAAAAATTATGAATTTAGCACACAGTCTCACTATGCAGCTCAGACTCATAGTGATCCTCCTGTTTTAGCCTCCCCAGCTCTGGTATTATAGGTATGCAACATCATGCCAGGTCTCAGTGGCTGGTGAGGCATGACCGCGGCGGGGCTGGCACTGCGTGTGGTACCAGAAATGGACCCCGGGTCCTTGAGCTACCAAGCAGGAGTTTGACTGCTGAGCCATCTCCCTGGCACATAATACCATTTTAAAGTAGCTATATGTTTCCTCCTTAGGGTTACTTAACGTTGTACTTTTGTATCAATTATTGGGGGGGTAAATTAAATTACCAAGATGATAGGATAGAAACATGATATCCAGCTAAATTGTCAAGTATTCTTTGTATAGTTAATGAAATTTCAGCTTCATTCTGGCAGTCTTTAACAACAGCAGTGAGATAGTCTTGATGATATGCTGCCCTAGATATTTTTACATTTTGGACTATCTCTGGACAGTTACTGACTCTTAGAGAGATAGCTCTTGATGAAAACTGGTTACCTGACATGCTGGACAAGCTCTCAGTCCATCCAGTTCTGAACATTTTCCAATCTAGCATGCATCATCAATGACATACTTTTACTGAAATTGTTCCTTAAGTCTTAACTATTTGAAGGACATTATCTCTGAGGTTGAGTTAAAAAAAACAAAAACAAAAACAAAAAAACCACTTGATTGATTTTTTTTTCACTTGCAATAAAGAAGTAAATTAAAATTACAAATAAATCTAATGTAGAATCTGGAGTAGCATGTGAATTATGTTGCTTTATCTGGACACATTTAATTTGCTGGATTCTGGATTGTCACCTAGGGACTTCCGTGGTTCAGGTGACAGCAACGGATGCTGATGACCCTACATATGGGAACAGTGCTCGGGTGGTGTACAGCATTCTGCAAGGACAGCCGTACTTCTCAGTAGAGCCAAAAACAGGTAAATGAAAATGGGACCATCTTTATAAAACTATCATCTGGACTTGGCTTTGCATTAGTATTAGTTGTTTGTACCTCAGTTTAGTTGATTACCCATGCTGTATTTGTATCACATCTCTCAATGTGTCATTTTTAGTATAAAAACATTATTAAGGAGTTAATCATTTTTTAATAAGAATTTGTGACTTTCTCTGCATCTCTAAAATTTAAATCAATATTATGCATTTAAAATATTTCAGGTCTGTTTTCATAAAATGTTGATATTTACATTGAAGTTTTATTTGTGTTTGTTTCCTTTTTATATATTCATACAGAGAATTAATTGTACATGGTACAATAAAAACTCAAATAAAACGTCTTGGCTCCACAAGAGAGTAGGTGCTAGTTTGAATTTGTCCTTCTGTAGGCTGATTTTCTCAGCAATGCTAATTAAAGCAATGAAAAGAATGATCTGCTAAGTCAAAAACTAAAGATTTTCTTAATCTTTGGTGTATGTTTTTTATGAATTATACAAGTGAATCAATAGAATATTTTGTGGCTAAATTGTTTGTTCTGTTTTCTTTTAGGTTAAATAATTTAAATTAAAATTGCAACATGAAGCATTGTTACTTTGATTTAAAATTTTTTCCCTAATCCTAACCCTAACCCTAACCCTAACTCTAACCCTTAAAATTATTTTATCTATTCAGATTCTTTTTTCTGTATATGGAGGAGGGAGTGGATCTCACTGCTGTTGGGTGGGTGCTACTAGTATTGTCACCACAAAACAAAAACCAAAAATTTTCCACTTAAACAATTTTGCCTACATCTCACAAATATACAGTGTTAATTCATTTTCAAATCACTGCAGAAAGAAATATCTAAATGACTTTTGGAAATAATAATTGCCATGTGCATAAACAGAGAAGTAAATACAATCTCATTCATGACATACTTTGTAGCAATGTAATGGTCCAGTTTGGAAACTATGGAAAAGTAAATAGAAAAGAAAACAGCTCTAATTAAGCAAGTATTGGATGAAGAAAGAGTAATTAAGTGTATTGGATTTATGTTATGAGTCCTCTGAATGTAGGAAGTGTGTTCCCATTTGATTGAGTGATAGATCTCAGAAACCTAAACTTGAACACTCAGCCTCCCATTATCGATCTGCCTCATTTCGCCTAGAAGGACATTAAGAAGTTTTTCAAAATGTGCTTACCAACTATTGCTCTGCATTATGTAGTTTGCCCAAAAACTAGCATGCACTGATTCTAACAGTTAAATATTTCATTGTTGCTAGTGACTGGCTTGCAATTTTTAGTTTTCCTGTAAGATAATGGAATTTTCCTATAAGTCTGGTGAGGTGTAAAAACCACAACTGAATAATCACAAATCACAGAATTACATTAATGCTTAAATAAGTAAATTCAATTTTAATTTTAGAATCTAAATTAAAATGTCATATTGTTTTGATATAGAACCACCTTCTATTACAGATATAAATAATATGAAATGAAAGTTTGTTTTATAGTACAGTAATCATTATAAATAATGGGACTTATCTTTCTAAGTTCAGTGCAGAGATATTGTGAGCAATTTATCTACTAAACTATATCATACTATGTAGAATACAATTTTTTAAAGAAAAAAGAGGTTATAACTTTTTGACAAAAAAGGAAATATTCAGTCCTTTGGGGCTTACAGAGCTATAAATCAAGACTCAGTGTTCCTTATGTGGTGTCAATCTAATTCTCATCTATGTGAGAAATAGCAGCACTTTCTACACAAATGTAGGGGTTTTGGAGAAGACGGTAGAATGTTTGACAGAAAAAAATGTTGAAAATATGTTAAATAAAGATTAGTAAAAATAGACCCAGGCAATTCTTGGGTATATGCATTTTTATAAGTTTGGTTAACTGTTGAGAAAAAGCATAGTTAAAACCTGAGAGCACAGATTGTATTTGTAACAGTGTTTAACAGCCACGTGACCAGAGGGCAATTGCATTGTCTGTATTCACTTCTCCTTGGACAAAACCAGAATGTGTGTAGTTCCAAAAACCAATGTGAACAGTCTACTTCAGCAAACTAATAAAATAGTACTAGAAATAGGTTACACACTATTAAAAAGACAGAAGATTCTCATATCTTCACAGTATCCACAAAGACACTGAGAGACAAGATTATTGTAAGATGTATTTTCTCTTCTATAGATTGCAAACAAATAGATCCCTGTTATGGTTCCACTTGATATGGAGCAAGAAAGGTTAAATAATTTGCAGTTCAAAATGAAAAGCACAACTCATATTTTAAAATTATTCTGGATTTCAAGATACTTCAGAAGTTAAATCAAGCACTGTCAGTCTGACTGAACAAATTCCAAGCCATGAAGCCATTTTTGAAAAATGGCTTGAGTCCTAAAATCACTCATTATTTAAAGTTCTTTCTCAAACAGAAAAGAAGTGACTTCATGGTGCCTCAGTGTACATCATTTACATATTAGCTTTACCATAGCCTAATGCAAGTACTACAATTACAACAAGTTACATCCACAGAGGCCCTTTGTTCGTGTTCCACTTTATAGCTTTCCTCATTTTGTGGAAGGGCCCTGGCTTCTAAGTTTTCTCTGTAAGTCCATCGCAGATGACAAAATGTCCTTTCTCAATGACTTTTGTTTGTTTCCAGGTCTGACATCCTTTGTATTTCCAGAAGCTTCCAAACATGACATCACTGGCACGTTTCTGTCTTTTTTGTTATTCTGTTAAACAATGTACTTAGAAATAGATAAACCAAATAACACAAAGCTTAGATACAAAATTTAGAATTATAAACCAAATGAGAAGATATTTACCTTTTACCTCTACCGAAAAAATAATGTATATGCAAAAATTATGATTGTTTTAGTAAACGTTCTCCTCTGGTGTTTTTTTTTTTTTCCTTTTTTTCCAGATAAATGGCAACATTCTTCTTAAAAGAATCTAAAACAGTTATTTTCTTTATATTTTCTGATGACCTCTCATAAATATCAATAATACTTGATTTTATGACCTATTCTATTGAATTCATTTATAATTAATATTCTACTACACAAATAAATTGATTAAAGGATATTTTTTCAAAGCAAAAAGATGTCTTTAACATTAATGTTTACTCTATTTTCTAAATTCTTTTGAAACCACTTTCAAGCTTTATATTTGAATATTTATTATTCTTAAAATTTGAAACTGCTTTGTCCAGGATATATTTCATCATATCTCAATCTCCATATTTACAAGAAAAAGTATTGCTAGATTCTAGTCTGTGTTCTTTTATGTTCATTTATACACGTCAGAGAATATGTGACACAAAAATAACTCACCAAATTTTAAGTTCCGTAGTTTTTTACTTGAACTATTTGAATGACTTTTTTTCTACTGCAGTTGAATCTCAAATGTGCACACATCTACACATATTTTGCCCATTCTATTCACTAAAGTTCTCTCCATTGTGTAATTTGTTAACGTCAAACCAGTGTCTTGGTTACTTTTCTCTCACCACTGAGAAAAAATTCCTTATGCCAAAACTTATGGAAGCAAAGGTTTATTCAGCTCACAGTTCGTGGAGGTTTCAGTCCATTATCAGCTGGCTCCAAGAGCACAGCTCATAGTGGCTGAAGACAGAGAAAGTATGAAGAACAAAAAGGCAGGAGGGAGAGAGCAAGCCTTTTCCCTTTCTCATCCAGGCTACCTGCCCCAGGACAGGTGTAGCCCTCATACCCGTAATCCCAGCATTGGACCACCAATCAATCACAGACTCTAGAAGCCTGCCCCTATAATGCGGGTGAAGTTTTCTGGGGACATCTAGACATATATTATACATGCCACCACTGACCCCAACCGAAGACTCATGTGCACTGCTCTATGCAAATGGTGTTTTATTCCATCTCTAAGAGTTGCCAAAGTCTAAGAGTTTCAGCATTCATGAAAAGTTCAAGTCCCAAGTCTTCTCCGAGATCTAAGGCAAACTCTTAGCTCTGAGTCCACATACAAATGAAAAATTAAACACGTCCAACATTCAATGGCAGAACGTAGACATTATCACTCCAAAAGATATGAACAGGGCAATAGAATGGGTAGGAACCTAGGCAAGTACAAACTACAGTAGGGCATATATTAAATCCTGCAGATTTATCATAGTATCCAGTGCAACCTATGGTAAGTTGTGAGCTCCAAAAGAGTTGGGTGGCTCTACCCCTCTAACTCTTCTAGTAGTAGTAGTAGCTCCCTCTCATGCCTTCTTTCTTGAACTGGTTTTGCTCCTTCCTTGCAGATTTCATCAGATGATCCACATTTCTGGGTTTTTTAAACTTCTAGGGTTGGCCCAAGGATATAGCTCAGCAGCACATGCCTGCCTGGTAAGCACAAGGTCCTTAGTTAGATTCCTGTTTAAAAAAAAGAAAACAAAACAAAACAAAAAAAAAACAGTTTTGGAGTCTCCATTGCAACTTTGGTTTTACATCGAGGCTTTACACATTGCCCTCTCAGGAGCACACTGCTTAGCTTTCCAGGCCTTCTTCTGAAATTTGGGTAGAAGCCTTTTAATCCCCAAACTCTTGTCTTCTGCATGCACCTAAAACCAGAACCATGTGGACTTTGCCGAGTTCTATGGTCAGTTGAACAGTAACCTGAGTTTCTGCTCTCTTGGCTTCAGGGGTCAAATACTCAGATCTCTGAGCACTCTGAATCCAGTTTTGAGGAACAAATTCTCTAGGTTGCTAGCATTCTGGAACATGGTGTTCTGGGACTTTCTTCTCAAAGCAAAGATTATCTCTTTTGTAACTTTGAGGCTCTAAAGAGTGGCAACTTCCTACTTCTTGTGATGCCCTCGGGACATCTTTTCTGTGGTCTGGTTCCTTCACCCCAGTCAAGATTTCTTCAGCTCTGTCTTTGCAGTCCATAGCTTCACTAGAGTTCTTTTTTTTTTTTTTCTGGAAAAATTCACAGCACTTTAAATCATACTGTTGGGTTCTTGGTCTTGCTCTTGGTTCTGAACATAAATCTTACTAAAAACCCCCAACTGTAGCTGTGCCACCACCTCACCATTCGTCTGCCTTGAAATTTCCTCTACTGGATTTATTAGGTGCTCTTAATCTTAGACTTAGGCAAAATCTCCTGACATAAACAGTGTAGACAAAGTTTTTGCCAAGCTATCATTTGGAGTACAGCACCAGTGCAGTCTTCATCCCAGCAGAAACCTCCAAAGTCAGGTCTTTATCAGCAGGATTTCTATCAAGCTTCTGGTCTTCTTAGTTGCAACTAGAGTATGATATAAATGCCAGAGCAGCCTAAGGCATTACAGTGCTACTCTTTCCGGTGACATTTCCAAACTTTCTAAACTCTTATTCCCACAAGCCATTCCCAAAGGTGCTTGAACTACATGGTCAGGTATAGGGACAGCAATGCCTTCACTTCTAATTCTGTCTTACTTACTTTTCTCTTGTTATTGAAACAAAATATCAGACACTGAGCTCAAAAGAGAAAAGGTTTACTTAGCTCACAGTTTGTGGAGGTTTCAGTCCACCATAAGGGGACTACAAGACAAGATGACCCTGGCAGAGTTCATGGTGGTGGAAGATAGCAAATCAACAAGAGCGAAAAGGGAGGAGTGAGAGAACAAGGACTGTTCTGTCCCTTATGTTGTATTCAGGCTGCCCAGTCCAGGGCAGATGCAGTACTCACACCCATAATCCCAGAAGTGGACCATGAATCAGTCACAAACTCTGGAATCCTGCCCCATGATGCATGAGGCTTTTGGGAGATATCTACAAACAAATCATAACAATTGAAAAGTGTTAATTGTTTTTAGTTTAAAAAAATCTCAGTAGTTTTCAAGATGTGATGTGATATATGATATATATATATATATAAATTTATATGTATTATTTATGATGTATATATAAATTTATATATTATTTAATTTAAATATATCATTAATATATAATAATTGGACATATAAATATGTATAAATTTATTGAATCAAGCAGAGGCTCCTCTGGGGAGAGAAAACAGCATTTAGGTCTCTGAATGAATTTGCAAACATCCATTGCTACACAGCCTAAATCTGGATAGGGAAGTACTTTGTTCTCATTTGTAATTTAATAGCTGATCACAATGTATTCAAATATGAAGTTGTGATTTGATCACCCAACTTTACATTGGGATTCTTTGATGAATATGCTTCAAATTTGTAAATATCATATGATATAACAATCATTGATTTAGTTTAACGCCAACATTAATGATAAATTTCATTAAACTGTTTTAAAGAGTTCATAATACAAATGGCCAGAAACTGATGTAATACATGCATATCCAACTCATTATCACTTGCACGTACTATTCTCATTCACAAGTTCAAATTCAGGCAAATCTCCCATTATTGATGTGCAGGGACTTACTGGTCTCTCATGGGTCCCCAGGATAAAGTGGCAGGGGGGATTTAGAAAATAGAGAAGAGGTAAGAGCTGAGGTCAGGTGGAGGCCTGTTTGCCTGAAGGGCAAAGGAACTGAACAACAACAGCAGGCATGTTTATTTATCCTTTTGCAAAGGTAGTACCATGAGGCAGCATGTTCCTTAGCGACTAATGGCTGAAATTGCCCAGCAGGATGCTTTTCTCTCGACTAAGGTAGTTTGACAGTTTTCTTGTCCTGCTTTCACACATATCAGTAATTCCCAACTTCAGCCACTCTGAATGCCAAAGAAGTTATCAGTGGATCTGACATGACATCTGATTATTCCTGTTAAAAGCAAAGCAAGTGGACAGAACACATGGGTTCGTCACAATTTTATAATTGTCTATTGGGTCTCCTGTTTATCTTATGCTATCTTAAGGGTTATTATCTACTCACTTTTTACAATGGACTCATTGAATAACTTTAGTTTACTCATGTTCCTAAGTTCCTGGTTTGTGTTACCAAGAAGAATCTATAAAGATTCCAATGTCTCTAATCTTTAATTGTGAGATCTCAGAACTCTTGTAGTAATGACAGAAAATAAAGAACATAATGAATAGTATGGGGGACATAAATGGTTTGGGAGTTAGTGAATGAATCCAAATCAGGTCATAGTTAATAGAAGAACTTTTCCCATTGAGTTAAATACCTTAGAAAATAGGTTTTCTTTAAAGTTTTTGTTTGGATATTAATTTGCTAAGCCTGGTATCTGTATGGTGATGTAGTTGCATTGAGTTGAACCTCTCAGCAGGAGTACTCTCCAGTCCTGGGCCCTAGAGTTCATTGGTATAGTTGAAGTTGGTACAAGGCCCAGGTGTGCAGAAAGCTGTCTTTGAAAGTGGTTCTCTTTATTGTGATAAATTACAAAAATGGCAATGTAATGTATTATATGTTATATACTCCAAAACTTTAAGATTCCAAGATAATAAAATATGCCATAAAGAAATCAGCAGCACTTGACAAGAGTGTCATCAGGATTTTTTTTCCCATATGAAAAACAAGAAAATTGTTGATCAATACCAAGATGAGCTTACTTTTTATGTTTACAATGTTTTTGTGAACATCAATTAAAAGAAAATGAAAAGTTCTGAGTTATTGAGTGGCATAATGCATCTATGGGAAAATTCTTATTCTGATGCCTAGCATCTGAGCTATGTTTAATCTAAAGACTTAATGGGTAGATATTTTTCTCATTATAAATTATTTAAATGTCTTGCTTATAAATATTAATAATTATTTGAATTGATGCAATACTTTTTTAATTATATAATAATTGGTTATTAAATTATGATTTTTAAACTTTCCTGTAACTCTCACAGGTTGAAGGGATCCAACTAAGAAACATTAGTCTGTACCAGTTCAGAGATAGAGTGCTAACAATGAGGTTTTTGTGTGTGTATAAATACATTTCTATGTAATATGGAAAAATGCAGTATAAAATAATTATTTTACAAATATACACAGTTTTAACTTAAATGCTAGTAAAATTAATAGAAATGTAATTTCGGAATACTCATACTTAATTTCAATATTTCTCAATTATTTTACTGTTGTTGGAAATATGTTTAGTATTTGAGACATTTGGAAATTGCCTTTTCCACATGAATTAATTTGTAAACTTTTTGATGATTTTAGCTTTGGAAAGTATTACTCATAGGATCTCTTACCAAGAGACAATTAGAAGTATGCAAATAAGCAGGTAACTACCAGATTTCTATCTTAATGTGGCTTTCAACTGTAATGCCTCTGACCAAAACCAGAAGGGAATGAAGCTGCAGAGATTCATTTTCTTGCATGAATTGTTATGACTTTCTTGCCACAATAAATTTTTAAAGATGATAACTTGATATTTAGTAATATTGGAATTATAAATGAGAAGCAAATAGAAGTAGATTTTTCTAAAAATATTCATTATATTAATACATTTTCATATAAAAATATATATTTTTTCACATAGAGGAGACCTAGTGGTCAAATGTTAAAGATTGTCTTACAGAGGTTGGGTAGGTAGCTCAGTCATATAACTGCCTGCATGGCAAGCGTGTGGTCCTGAGTTCAATCTGTGGTATAAACAAAACAAAACATTGTTTTACAAACTTTACACAAGAAATTATCAAAATATATTATGTGTAGACACAAACCTGCTAAAATAAAACCATTAATCTCTATTAAACCAATAAGAAAGAGTGAAGAACAAAGATGATTAACAAGGAAGATAAATAAGCACATAAAATAGAAAAAGATGGACATTTAAATTCTGTGACTCCTAGTCAAAGGTTATTGATGCTTGTAGGCAAGGAGTTTTAGTGAAATATTGCTGTAGATTGTAACCATAGGCATTGAAGGACAAACAAAATATTTTTGGAAAAAATATGACCCTAAGGAGAATATTGATGTGTTAGAGTAAATAACTAAACCTATGGGGTAAAAGGATTTTTCATTTTAATGATGATATTCAAAGATTAATTATAACTGGGTATGAAAAGCAAAAAACATTCAAAGAAGCTTCTACTTAAATTCTTATGGTTGTGCTTGTAGCACAGGCTCTACGTTATTGATAGGATAATATGATTGGTAGGTATGAAGGTTGTACTTCTTAAACAATTTTAATGTAAGTGTATAGCATATTGCTGTTTGTCAGGGTGTGCATGTGCCAGTGTATATGTTCATATTTGAGAAAGTTCAGTCCTAAACAAAAATATCTTTGATAAATATAGGAATGCTATTTATCTTGAACTCTTAATATTTTGGTTATTAATAATAAATTGATATTAATTGAAAAGCATGAAAAAAAAAGAAATGGTAAGTCCATAGCTATTTAATCACAGTGTCTCACAAGGCTAGAGAAGGCCTTACCAATTAGTTATTTCCTTACATGTATTTCCATGAAATGTGAAAATAATTTGATCACATAATAATGAAAGTGTATTACATTATTGCCTCTGTTTTGTAATGCTGCACACAATTATAATGTCCCTTTGGCCTTCGATGCACATTAAAATCATTGAAAGAGAAGAACAAAAGAGTGTAACTGAAGAGAGGCTGGCTATTTTGTCAGTGTCCATTGTTATTGCAACGGAGTGATTCATGCTGCATTTTACTGGGATTTGAAATCTTACAGGAATCATCAAAACTGCCCTTCCAAACATGGATAGAGAAGCTAAAGACCAGTATTTGCTTGTCATTCAGGCAAAGGATATGGTTGGCCAAAATGGCGGACTGTCAGGAACTACATCCGTCACTGTGACCCTAACTGATGTCAACGATAACCCACCTCGTTTTCCTCGAAGTAAGATTTCCCCTGTGGAAATTAATTTTGTTTTTAGCCTTACAAAAGTAAATCACAAACCTTTAAAGATTTTTTTTTCCAAATTTGTCAAGAGTATCATTTTGTTACTGCATGTAACCAGACCTATTTTATAGAAGGCAATTTTAACTCACTCTGTGGAATAAAGGTACCAAGAAAATACAGTTATTGTACATCTATCATTTCTAGCTTAAATATAGTACAATTTTTCTGTCTTTGTATTTTGGCTACACAAATGTTAATTGTGTTTGTGTAGTAGACACTTAATCCAAGATCTTTGTTCATATAAGTTGTGTAAATTATAAGTTTGTTACCCATAATAATATGGTATCAACTCACACAAAAATATATTGCTTAATCTTTGAATATGTACAGATAAGCAACAAGTGATCTTATTTTTCATTTTATAGTTTAATCCATTCATGCACATGGCATATTCCATTGATAGTTCTATCCTGTTTCTTGCACAAACAATGAGTGTTTGAAATCAGTCTAAAGCACCAGAAACAACTGCTCTCATTTCAGGTTCTTTGGCCAAAGTTGCTTTTTTCTTTCTTTCTTTCTTTCTTCTTCTTTTTTCTTTTTTTTTTTTAAAGTGGCTTTTGACTTAGCAAGAAGAAGAAAAAAAATTGTTTGCAAAGAAGGACTTTTCTGTTTTCGGAAAGGATTTTCAGCCC